TGTGTGTGTGTGTGTGTGGGGATCCAGGTGTGGGGTGAGAGGTTTCTGTGTGGGGCAGTCTGGGTGCGGGTGGCTCAGTGGGAGATCTGGATGCACAGGGGCTTGTTGGGGGGTTCTGAGTGCAGGGGCAATGGGTCTCTGCAGGGGGTGAAGGTGGTTAGGGCTCAGTGGGGCATCCAGGTGCCAGGGGCGTGGAGCGGGGGTCTGAGCGGCGGGGCTCAGTGGGGGTTCCAGGTGCTGGGGAACTGGGGCTTGATGGGGTGGAGGTCCAGGTACAGCTATTTGGGGATCAGTGGGGTGGGGGTCTGTGTAGGGGGGCTCAGAGGGGTCGAGGTGTAGGCCTTGTCAGGGTGAAGGTTCGATGGACCTGCTTAATGGGGGTGCCCCAGCTGATGCAGAGAGGACACTGCATGCTGGGCTTCTGCTTCCCCCCCATGATTCCCCTATCCCCTTTTCTTCTCCATTCCCTCCCCTCACTCTCATATTCCACTCCCCCACCTGCCTCTTCTCCCCTCCCCAGCCCCACCACGGGCACTCACTTGCACAGAAAACAGTTCTGGCACCTGGAAGGCTTCCAGCACACAGAAGGGGAGCACGACTGGCACTAGGACCCAGGAGACAGCGTTCAACTGCAGAGTCAGCGGGAGCCCAGACAGCCTCCTTCAGCTAGGCAGCTCTGCGCTTGCAGAAATGATGGGGGGAGGGAGTGACAGGTAACTCTGTGTGCCCCACCCCATGCCTCGCCTCTGTTTGGAGGAGGAGGACAATCTCCCCCCCCCCCAAAAAAACCTGTGCCCATGGTTGATCGTCGCTGCCCCCCCCTTCCCCCACAGGGCCTCCCTGCCGTTTTCTGCAGGGAAGCACAGAAGTTCTGCAGGGGGGCATTTTCTGCAGGCAAGCAGTCATGCAGAATCCCCCCCCCCCAGGAGTATCCTATGGCAAATATAACCTTATCTATTTTGTCACAAACTTTCAGTACAAAAAAAAAAAAGTGAAATTTCTTATCCTTAATATGTTGTCTGTAACCACTAGACCATACACCACTGCCTTAACCACCAGATCATAGTCTCTTCCAGAGCGAGGCACTGATCTGAAGATTCCTGATCTTAAAAATTCTAGTGATATCGGGCAAATAGTTGTGTAACCCAATTGCAAAGTATGCCAAGTTCCCCTTTGGTGACTGGTCCATATAGAGGACAACAGTTATGCCCTTCATGCAAATGGTCATGGTTTCTGCTGGGAATCTGAAGATCTAGCATTCAGACTTTACTGATAGCCCATGTAAAGGTCTTTTTGGTTGCACATTTGGTTTTTCTGCTTTTTGTTTTTATAAATGCTCTTTAAAAAAAAATAAAAAAATCAACTGTTTATTTAATTGAGTGAGAATATAGCCTTAAAAAAAGTTAGTTATAATTTGTCAATTATAGCATGTGCAACAAAATAAAGGTGTTCCACATTTTTATGTAATTTCTCACACATGTTGATCACTTATTTCACCTGTAGTAGGAAGAGAGCCTGAGACATAAGCCCTTGTATCAGAGGCCTGATCTAAAGTAGTGGTCAAAGTTTTGCTGACAAAAAGCAAAATCAGGTTGTGAGCAAGAGGAAGGCCCTGCTCACAGAATCTGGCAAGAAAACAGTTGACATTGGGGGAAAAAAAAAACAAAAACAACACCTCACATTGCTAAGAGGTCCTAGGCAACGGGCATACATGTGTTAGTGTACCTGTAACCATTGAGCCAGGGCATTAGGACCGTGCTTCATTAACAATAAACCTGATCAAGTTCCTTCGCTGTGGTTATTGGGCAGTTTGATCAAGGTCTGCTGTGCCAACTATTTGTGCAGAGCTGGGACAGCACTCAAAAAAACCGCACACACATGCAGTCAAACATCTAATGACATCACCCACAA